CACCCGCGTCGCAAACTCTGTCTGTAGAGAGTGATGTTTGCATCACTTCAGGCACCTCAACCTGGCGGGCCATGCTGAACGTGGGTGGTTCAGCAACCCAAAAGTCACCGTAGCAGCGGCAAGCACGCGCTTCGGAACTCTGGGCTCCTGCGAGTTGGGCATTCCGGCAGTAGGCTGGGCCCAAGGGGCTGTGCTAGGGCAAGACAGGCTTCTTTGGAACTTGAACATACTGCAGTCTTGTGTGAGGATTGCGGGCATGGGGGCGTGCTTGCCAAACCTGATAAACATGAAGTGTCTTGGCGCCCAGAGACGCCCTCCGAGCCAACTGCACTAAGCGGCATTTCGGACAGAAGCAAACCTTAAACTGTTGCAAATTCAACCCCAGGCTCAAGAAGTCTGCCAAGTACTTGGCTTCGGCCACGCCGTGCCCAGAAGGCTTGTTCCTCGAGACGCACTCTTGGGTGCTAAAGATACCACCCGCGCTGGGGACTGAGGTTCCACGTGGAGAGATGTGGCGAGAATATGCCGGTCGCGAGTGCGCGCGCTGCCTAGTGTCCACTCGGCTGCGAACCCTGAGACGTTCGGTAACGACGCCCTCTTGCCCGCAAGCCACAAAGAAGCCTTTGTAGTTTCTATAATTCAGTGCCAAGGAACAGAACGTCATGCTCAAACTTGGTGATGCCGACGCCGCTGGTGACGTTCATCAGGGCAACCTGGACGGAACCTGGCCGTGCTTCGATCGACGACACGGGGTCACTGCATGGCACCATGGTATGCGTTGCTGTCACTGGTTCAGAAACCGATTCTCAGACAGCAACCCTTTTGGCTTGCGGCACTGACAGTCAGGCTGGTGCGCCGGCTTTGGCTACGAGTGCCAACCAACAAAAGCGTATCCTGTTCTCAGTAATTGCCAGAAATATGTGAGCCCCCGCTGCGTTTTTTGCGAAGCGATACGCGCACGGGCAAGACCGAATGCGAGTCCTGCTTCTGTTTTTGCGCAGTTTGCCAAATCAAAATCTACTTGCGAGAAACGTCTCATGCAAGTTTGGGCAAGGAGGGACGAGGCGGAACTGCACGATGCTAGCTGCTACACTGCTACAATACTCGTCGGTCTTTTCCCAGTAGCACTTGCATGGGTTCATTGCACCGTAAGACTAGCTGGGTTTGTTCAAACCTTCCTCCGAGTCTGAAGGTACTTAAGTAAGGCCAGCCTGCTGTCATCAGCCAATGTTCTCACCCTGACGGAAGAACAGCGGCTTAAAAGCTGAAGTCGATGCCGTCTCATCTAAAATTGTTGAACCCGCTCTCTATTTATTCACTCGCCCCGTACGGCCCAGAAGAACCAGAGCAACTCTTTGGAACCACCCATGTGTTTCAAGTCTTCCACCTGCCCTGCAAATCTTCGCCAGGCTGCTCGAATAAGGCAGCAGGGAGCCCTGTTTGGAACAGCCGCGGGGGCAGCAAACCAGCTTCAGAAACTGCCTCGCAGTGTGGGTTTTTTTTGCGTTTTGGGGCCAGGTAAGGATTGCATCAGATACAAGAAATAGGCAGGCACAAAAGTAAAATCTTCAAAGCCTCAAGATTTTGGGGAGCCCTGGCAGTTAAACAGGGCTTGTGCTGCCTCCCGCCTAGCCGAACGAATCAACACGCAGGGCAAATAGTATTAAAGCTACTGCGCGTATTGTAGGGTTTCAGAGGTTCTGGATTTGATCTCCAGGGCGGTGGTGACCCCGCAGTGCTGAACTGTCACATCATCAACTTTTTTGGGAATGATGGGGTGAATCGATCGTCCACTTGAACCACAGGCACGTTTCGTTGAACAGCGCCGAAGCAGTCTCAAAGTACTCGTTGAGGGCGCCCTCCAGAGCTTTCGCATTCACGGCACAAAGGGCTGGTCAGCTTCTGCATGTAAGCCAACAATCGTAGGGTTTGGCCCGACAGAAGCTTCCGTGCACCGGTAAAGGATTTCTTGAGCTTGAACAGCTGACACTGGAGAGCACTAACAGCCAGAACACGAACTCTTCTACCCCCGCCACCTGATATGAAGGCATGTGGAGGCCGCTCAGCACTGCCGGCCGCTCCACTGGCCCGGTGTTCCGTAAGGCTGGGAGCAGTGAGTAGCCACCCATGGCCTTTCGGACTTTAGGGCGCACCAGCTTCCGAACACGTCGAGAATTGACATTCTGAAAAGGAGAAAAGTTCCGGTAAAAGCCTGGAAAACCCACATGCATGCCATTCAGAACGTAGACGCGAGCTTACCACAAAGAACTCTGCTTTCCTTCACACAGCTTCAAGGCAAAACACTCAACGTCTACACTCACATCATGCAGAGGCACAGGAAAAGGTGTCGCTCCAGCGATGTCCAGCATTGTGCGGGGCACGTCAATGAGGGACACAGGGGTTTCCTCACACAACGGCAGGCAAGGGCGTTTGGGAGCCCCGCACTACACTGTCCCACTGTAAACTGCAATCCTTTCAGCCACACCCCATCCGAGAACCGAAATTAGACTGGTCACCCAGACTTGGCAGAGATTCATGGTACGGCACAGTCGCTGTTTGCAATCAACAGCCTTGCCAGACCCAAAACGTCTATCTGAGCCCGAAACCTCGATGAAGTCTGCTCGGATGGAGGGGCCCGCAACAATCAATGGGATGTGCACAGCGGGTTCCCAAGGACTGGATTTGGCCCACCTGAGATGGGATGGGGCCGTCCCGGAAGAGAACAGACATGGTTGATGTCGATGGAGTCTGGACGATGCAGTGAAGGGCAACAGTGCAGCCTACAAGTCTGTCGGTCACAGGTGGGACTCAACTGTGCCATGAGGGGACGGGGGGCAGGAGACCAACATCCAGCACAAACTCGACAGCTTGCAGTGGCTCGCAACCCCCCTGAATCCCAGGCATCTGTCAGAATTCCGAACTTTCCGAACCAGTCCAGACCAAACGGCTCGCCGTGGTCGCCAAGGTGATCGCCATGGTCACTGGTGATGATGACCACGGTGTTCCTGTCTGAGTCGGTATGTTCTTGCTTCCGCAACGCGTCCGAGGACCTACTCACTTCCCCATTCCCCACATTCACATGGAAACAGAAATCACGATTGCCCGTAGGCTCAAACAGCCTGGCAAAATTTATGCATTGTGTTTTGCAGTTGGCACAAAATCGACAAGCGCGTGCGAAGGGCATCCTGATAACTCAGGCCAAAGAGCAGGGGCGGTGTGACCTCAAATCCCTGAGATCTCAGGCCAAGGGGCCCCCAAGTCTAAGTTTGGCACAAAACATAGAGGTTGTAAACCAAAATCTAACGAGCTAGCCTTCGTGATTGATGGATCGCAGAGACCGAGGACTTCGGGCAGAGAGGGAGGGAATGGCAGGCTTGAGCTTGTCGAAAACTCCGGAAGTATTATGACACATGTTGCGTTTATAGATCCAAGCTTGCGTGACCTTCGTCAAACAAAAACACTTTCACGAAACTAACGCCAACCAATCACTGCGCACTTGCGTAAAGACTTCGCCTGAACAACATCTTTCACGTTGCCATCGTGGAACTTTCACAAAGGCAGGTTATATGAATCGAGTCTCTCTCGGGCATGGTGCTTCTCCAAGAACTGCAGCATGTGGTGGATCCTCGGCATCTCAAAACCCTGCCCTTCCTTGCGAAGATTCCAGGCGACTCACAGCAAAGCTAGGCAAGCCACTCAACTCTACCTGGAGAATTGACTGTTAAGGTGGAACAGCTCGCGCATTGAAACTTTGATGCAAAATAACAATTATTTCGCCTGGAACGCGCCCATATCTCATTACTTTGCGCAATGTTTCAGTATAAAAGTCAAGGGTTCGCTCTGACTGCATTGGGGGGGTCGCCGGGGCTGCGAACATCCCTTGAGCGCCGTGCCGAAAGCAAGCATGCCCAAAGAGCCTGGCGCTCTTGCAGGCCGAGCTGCTCCGAGTCAAGCATGGCGAGGAGCTTGGCGTAGCTCTCCCGGCTTTCACCTCAACAGTTGCTCCCCAGAGCCAAAAAGGAGATTCCACACCATGTAGCCAAGGCAAAAACACTGTTGAACGCATGCTTCCTCTTGCCGATCCGGAACAAAGAGGCAGCGGCAAACCATCGGCACGCTAGTGCCATTTTCTGTGGAAGACTTGATGGCTATTCTGCCGAGGACCGCCCCCCCCCCCCCGGGCCCCACCCCAACGAGTGTCAGCCCAATAAGAGTTCTTGTGTTGGCCGGACCCCCTGAGCATCAACACTTTAATCCTGCCTTACATTAAAGGGGGGGTGCATATAGGGTTCAGAGGGTTCAAGCCTTCGGTTCTTTACAGGGGCGAGGAAGCGTTTGGCATCAGGGGAAAGGGCATAACGCGCGGCTGCTCCAAGACATGAATCCCGAACATGGCTCCCGAACGTCATGGCTTCCAAATGCAAGTCAGCTGCGAACATTCACCGAGTTCCGAAAAGGGTTCGGCCATTTTGTCAGTGTTCCTTGGCTGCAGGAAATTAATGTACCGAACTAGCTAAGCACCGAGCCCGACCTGGAGCCCACACGAGATACCTTCCATACCCTGGGACCTGCAAGGTCTTCTTCTTGCCTTTACCCTCCACCCGTTCATTCGTAAACCCACACTGGACTCACTAGGCGAAGTTGCCATTCGGCATCGGGGCCCAGATGGTGTCAAACTGCGCGTCGACAGCTTCCGGAAGCGGCCCCACCTCCTGGCTTTCAGGCTTTCAGGCTAGATTGATGCCATGGGGATTTAACTTTTTTGTCTGGGCTTTTCCGGAATTAAGTTTGGGAGAGATGAGGCCAGGCTGCAGGAATGCTGTTTTTTGCCGCCCGACTAGCCACAGCACTGCGGGGTCCGCTACACGAAATGTCTGCAGAAAGCCTGTTCAGCTTTACACCTGAACAGGGTGTCGATGACTTCAATTCCGAACATCGGCATGGTTTGCAGTGATAGGTTAAAGGGGAGGGAGAGGGGGGGGTGGAAGATGTAAACGTGACTCTGGGCGCCACTGGCTGTATACCGCAAAATTTCTGAACCATACATCCATAAGCTTCAGCCCCAACAGCACAAAGTATTGCTTCGTCTGGATCAAAACCCTAGTCCAGCTGTTCTCGCCCAAGTCACGTGATGACTGCCGGCGATGAAGGGTGGATGTGGGCTGGGGAAGCCCAGCTGCAAGAACCAGGGCTTCTCTCCTGGCTGTGGGTGCTTCCTAAACGTGCGGCGCTGTACGACGCACATGCTCGTCAAGTGCAACCGCCACAGAAATGCAGGAGGTCGTCCATGTTGCTTCCAATGCCGCTGCAGGAGCTCCTTTCCGAAGGCTTCAGGAAGCCGCCATTGAAGATTTCAAGGATCCAAGGACTGTTTGCTTCGCAGCTTCCATTATCATGAGGCTTTGAGAATTTTGAGAAGAGGATGCGGGTGGCGCTGGGACCCAAGAGCCGGCTCCGGGGCTGGACTTGGAAAGGGCTTGCCGGTGCAAATCTCTTGAATTCTTGGACTCAGGGCAGGCAGGGTTTGCAAGGCTTTTTCGGTTGAAACCGTGTCCCACAGCATTCCGAAGCTCCTCAAGACAGAGCATTTCAAAACCCAGAAGGCGGACCACCAAAGAAGAGCTGACAAGATTCGAGGGCTTTTTCCTTTGGAATCCCTGATGTATGAAGACCGAAAGAGCTTCGAACAAAAGACCTTGAAGCATCAACAAAAACCACGTGAAAGATGCAAGCAAACAGAGGGTTTTTTGAAGCCCTCGGCTTTCCAGTCCCCACAGACGCCTTGATCAACAGCCCTAGGCAGTCCCTTTCGGCACCACAAGCCGGCAAACCCCTTCAAGTCGCAGCGCTGGCCTGTGCCTGTAGTCGGCTCCAGCGATCCACACCCAATTCGGGCTCCAGGCACCCGACTGCGTTGCACCTGGCGCCATGACATGCCATGGCTTTTCAAATGGCTTTTCAGGGGTTCAAACGGAGGACGGGGGTCCAATTCTAGGTGCTTCTGCGCTTCCCTGAATGGGAGGGTTTTGGGTTCGCCTACTGAATGACTTCCTGGGCTTTCTGGTTCAAGACCGCAGGAACCCACGTAGCACCACTGCAAAAATCAAAAGTGTAAAGCGCTTGTGCAGATAGCCTGTACATCGTCGCATCGTATAACAGCGATTCAGCAGAGGAATGGGCAACTAAACCCTACTCGCCACCTCAAACCCTTAAGAGGCCCTTACACACCCTTATAGGATCCTTGGGGGGTTTGTAGAAGGAACCGGGCAAAAAGCCTGAAACCACACTCGTCGAAGAAGACCGTGTCGCACACAGGCGTCGCATTGCAGCAGCCGCCGCGGCCTGAAGCTGCAACTGAAGCTTCGTTGGGGGATGGTTCATGGTCTTTCGCTCGCCCAGGAGAAGCCTCCACCTGAAGTGTCCCAAAACACACTATCACACTGCTCTAGAGGTGCAGGGGCTTTGAAACGCAGGGCTTTGGGACTTCAAGGGATTCTAATTCTATGTACGAGTATTTTCAATTCTTGCGCGTCCAGGTCAGCGTTTCGATCGTGCCATCTGCCAGGTTCACTTCGGATTGGTTTTGGGGTTGCTCGATCGTGTCCTCGCAAGGACAGGGTGTGCACTCTGCAAGAAGGAACCTGTGCAAACAAGTCCAGACAATAAAAGTGCTCATTTTTGTGAAGACTCTCCAACCCTTGATCCTTCACATCCGAATGATCCCAAGACCTCGACCTGAAAAAACAGCTTCTGTCAGAGCATGATACCCATGATCCCCACTGCGGCGCAGTAGGCGCGCAAGAGCTTCTTCTCTTTCAGGTGCAAGCCGAAATGATCCAACTGGGTGCAGACATGCTTGTAGATGTAAATGGGTTGTGCCAGGCAATTGTTTGTGAAACTGGTTCCCCGCGCGGGCTTCACAACACAACTCGACTGCTAGATGATCTCCGTTGCCATGCCTGTGACGAACATCGAGGAAATTTAGGCTCTGCAGTGGACTTCTCTTGGTTGTCTTAAAGTCCTCGCCGTCTTAGATTTTTCGGCAGCTTCTGCCGCCTGATGCAAGTGCCAAACCTGGAGACAAAGCCACCCAAGCAGCTCTGGCTCGCACTCTCCGCTGCATTCTGCTGCATGTAATGTATGGCTACATCACTGAAAGAAATGACCCGAGGTTCGGATGTTGCAGCTCGCACAATAGGAGTCCAAGTGCAGGATGTCAGCTTCATAATGTCTCCACACGTCTCCACCAAGGCGCCACTCCATCTTTCCAGGCATTGCGGCAGATTCCGTACTTGTCCCCGGATCTTGAGAAGAGATCCACTCCCAGCACCTGCCGACGGGCTCAACATTCGAACCCTGCCGCCTCAAACATAAACTCGTATGAATTCCTAAGCCTCGCAGCGATCCTACATGGGCTTTGGATATATTGCAAACCCAACATGTCCTGGCAGCCCCATTGAGTTCATCTGAGCCTCTGAGTGAATCGCAATCATGTCACCTTGGGCCCTGGGCTTTTGTTCGCTGAGCCCTGGTGTTCTTGGAGTCCTACACCTTCACCGTGAAATCACAGCAGCACTCCTCCAATCGGTTGCTCGCCTCCATCTCCGTGGCGTTGATCAGGTAGCCACGGTCCCCTGAGAGATGGTCCTGTGGCTGAGGCTTCAGTCTCGAGAGGCTTGATTCAGAACGGCATTGTTGAGGCGCGGCCTTGCTTGGTCACGTTGTCACTTGCTTCAGAAAGCCATGGTTTCCCGAAGCTTGTCTACACTCGTTGCCCGTCCACCAGTCGTCGAGGGGTTCAAGGTTGGAAGGTTTCCTTTGGAGCGCTCGTGGCACGAAGCAAGATTGCCCGGGTCTCCCCAGCCTCCAGACCTAGGCTGCCCGGGGTCTTCCAAGACCCAGGAACCTTTCTGGTTTTAAGTTAAAGCTCTCTTCTCCTTCTCCTTCTCCTTCTCCTTCTCCTTCTCCTGCTCCAGCCCTTGAAGCCCTTGACTGCTACCAGGCGCAGCTGGCCGGCCAGTGTAGTTACCGTCAAGGTCACGATTTCGGGCCGGAGCCCGGAGCCCCTTGCCCCGCGCGACTGCACGCCCACGGACATTCGCGCTCACTCTCTCTCTTATGGTTATGCACGGCATGGGACTAGGGCTCTCTCTCTTCCTTCCTTCCTTCCTTCCTTCCTTCCTTCCTGCCTTCCTTCCTTCCTTCCCTTCCCTTCCTTCCTTCTTTCCTTCTTTTCCTTCCCTTCCTTCTTCCTTCCCTTCCTTCCTTCCTTCCTTCCTTCCTTCCTTCCTTCCTTCCTTCCTTCCTTCCTTCCTTCCTTCCTTCCTTCCTTCCTTCCTTCCTTCCTTCCTTCCTTCCTTCCTTCCTTCCGCAGCACTTGACCCTCCCGAAGGAAGGCCGCCCTAATGGGCGTGCTCTACCGAGGGCTCTCTCTCTCTCTCTCTCTTTCCCTCTCTCGCTCTCGGTCAGATTCTGCACACCTCCAAAATATTCTGCGGGCTCTACTTAGCTGAGCCCTGACGAAAGGGCAGCCGTGACCCGGCCTTGCCAGCAAGTATGGTTGTGTAGCCCGAATCCCGCAGGGCAGACATGAAGGTGGGAGACATCCTGAGCTGACTAACCTTCATGACCAAAGGGGCTATACCGAAGGACCGAAGGACCGAAGGTGCTTGAAAGAGCAAACGGCTGGAAGAAGCACAAGCGTCTGAGGTGACACATAGACTGCCTCGTTGTGTTGCACCCACATGTCCTTCGCAGAAAGTGAGGTTTGCGTCTCTTGCCTGCATGTGTTGCATTCTGCCCTGTTGCTGTTGCCAAACGAAACTTGTCTGCAGGACTTCGCGAGGCTTGCACTACGAGAGTACTCTGCCTCCCAAATTCCAGAGTGGATCTTAGGCTTATAGGAACAAGGGTCTCATGAATCCTCACCAATCAACCCCCCATCATTCCTTGTACTCCCTGGCAGCAGTGAGGGAGCTGCGAGCGGGAACGCAGAGAGGTGAGGTCGTGTACGCCCGCGTGAAGCCTCAGAATGGCAAACATGGCACAGGCCTCGCGCACCATTTGCTAAACACCGGTGACCTTTGTCCTCTCGCGAGGCTAGAAGCTGGATCCTAAACTCTCTGAGATAGCAGGTTTATGAGACTGCTTGGGGGCCCGAGCTAGAGAGCTGCCACTAATTGTGCCCGGGTCCCGGGGCATGTTCGGAGAATTCTTGGCATGCGGCGAGTGCCCATCGAAGCCAGCGACTTCACCGTGGGCATCGGAACCGCAGCCTCATCGAACCTGGGAGCCGAAACATTCGCACGGCTTAGGTAAGACTCTGTAAGACGTCTAAGAGTAGCAAGAATGCTTTCAGCGCATGCTTTGCTAGGCCACCGAAGTGTATGTGATGATTGGCTGGCCCACAAGAATGGATTCGACATGTTGCTATCCTAGTCGAGGGCATGGTTGTTCGCTGCAGCCATCCATCACTCTCGCCACTATTGGAAACCATGAACAACTACTCCGCAAGTCATGGGAAACCCCCCTTTTGTTGCCACAGCACCCTGCCCAATCTGCGCGCCACTGGTCCAAAAGGATGAACAGCAGATTTGGCCTGCTGCGTCTCGGTTCAGGGGCACTCTGCAACATCCTGACGGGGCATCAATAAAGGAATGCCAGAGTCCGGTCTTAAAACAAAACTGATCCAAACCCGAGCTTGAGCATGCTAATGACTACTAATCTACTAGTTTTTCACCGTCCGCGCGGAACGCCTGCGATCCGATGAAGGTTTCGGATGTGGCTGCGGCCGCAGCAGTTGCAGGTTCTGCTGCAGAAGAGTCATGCGCAAGTGCGTCTCCTGCAGGGGGCGCTGTATTGGCAAGGTTCGAGAAAGTTTGGCGCACCCCTCTTCGGTTGAAACTGTTGCTGCCCGATTGACCCAATCCTACGAGTAACTTCAATTCAGCTGCCACGGAAGTGCTTCTGGCATGTGACAAAACAAGATGCTCATGATTCCGATCTTAGCTACCCATGAGCCTCAGAGTACAAGCTTCCGAGCTCAATCGACCCTTGCAGGAAACTGGAGGCCACGCTTCAACTCTTCAACCTCTCCTCCGGCACACAGTTGGCATCCTCCTCGTCGCAGTCGCTCCTTTTGCTCGGCCAAAGACAAACCGAACACCCCGAAAAAACCTCATTGCCAGACTTTGCAACCCTACAGTACAGCCCCGAGCCCGAACTGTCGTTGTAGCGTCTTTTTGGAACCTCTGCTGCCTGACGAAGCTCTATAAGGATTGGGTCCAGCCCCGTTGCGGCGTCGCCCCTCTTGGACTCCGGGCCTGTTTTGCCCCCCCTTTTTTTGTTGTGGCGTCTCCTGGCCATTTGCTTGTGGACCCCTTTCTTCCGCCCTTCGCACTGTGGGTCTATTTTGCCAGGGGCTGGAGGCTCGGGCTTTTCTTGGCGGTGCCAGGAAGCTGAGGGGGGGGGAAAAAACCCCGTACATGCGGAAAAAAAAACCCAGCCCCACACCAGCAAGTGCCGTCTTAAGGTGCGACTCAGACACTGAGGGGCCACCAGCGTGCCCAACAAAGTGGGGAGCAAAACTGGGCGAGGCTCTCAAAGCTTCTGCACAAGTCTGAAGATTTGGACTGGAGGTTTGTCTGCACAAGGGCTTGCAGTACAGCATGCAAATGGCAATATATTTGCTGAGGAAAGTGCTCTGGCGGTCGTCCCAAATATACATTCAACAAGCTCACACTGGTGATGATTTAGCAACACTCTCTGAACCCCTCATCTTAGTCATGGCCCAGCAATGATCCGCAGCCGGCTTTCGGGCAAAATCATGCATTGCTCTGTTAAGGCCAGCATCAAAGGTGAAGGACGCAGCGTAGGAAGAGCATGGCAATGTATGCAATGTACAGCAGATGCTGAGAGTTTTGGGGTCTGGGGATCACTTTCTCAAAGGCTCTCCTTGGTGGCTCAGTCCTTGGGTGTGGGGCAAGTGGGATTGGTCGGAATAAAACCCTGCCAATCACCCATCCTGAACTATGGACAGCTTGATTCTCCCCGCGAGTTTCTTTGCTGCTTGCCTCTGAAGGCAAGTCCGAGCCAAATTGGCTAGGGCTGCCGGGGGCGAGAGCATCAACAAGGAGGGACTATTGCTGCAACTACCACATGTGCTCTTTCCCTGACATTGGGCAGGCAGACCAGTGGCACGCCTACCAGCTTCAAAACTTGGGCCCTACGTTCCGAAACGATTGCGCCAGAAGCTCGAACCTCGGGCATCCTCAATACTTTCAAAGACCTCGTCTTCCCTCTGGGCCTTTTGAGGAGCCTCCCAACATTTGAATGTGGATATCATGTCAAAGATTTGATGAGTAGTGGGGTCTTCATCGAGAAACCTCCATCCCATGCCATGGGGTCCTCGTCTCCGGTCGAGGCTGAGCGCCTGGAGCACTCAAGGACACGAAAACACCCAGTTGGGCTGGCTGCGACGATGGTTTGTCTAAAATTGAAAAAGAATGCAAGCTATTCTTCCCAAGTAATTACCCTCATGCCCCCGTTTTCTGTGAACAGTGAAACACCTTGCACTGTGACAAAAGGCGCACCCCAACTAGCGCAGAGCTCATCAGACCCTTTACACTTTACTACGTACGCCAAGTCAACTGCACCTATCTGCACCCTTCTACGCAGAATTCGAACTCTGTTTGTCCTGAGGCTCCACACTCAACACGTGCTGCGACACCCTCCCCCGACTGGAACAGGAAGATGTGGAGACCTCCAACGTTGCGTCTTCAGGATTTCAACGAGGCTTCTGTTTGGAGGCTTGGGGTGAGGTTTTGGGGTTAAGGAAGCCCAGTTGAAACAAAGGGGAGGCATGGTTCAGATGCATTTTATTCTGACATTTTGCAGTACGACTGGTCCATGTCGCAGCGGTTACAAAGCTTCAGGCTTACGGTGTGGTTTTGGGCGCAGGGCTTGGGAATCTCCGAAAACTCCGAGCCAGAAAGCCCCTGGGCGGCCCGCGTGAAGCTTCTTCTCGTGCCTGAGCTCCACGGCAGACTTTGGCAACCCGAACGTGCCCCCGCGACAGCGGATTCCCAAAACGAATTCCAACCCAGATGGCCATGAGGGCCGCAACTGGCCTGACCAGAATCTATCGACATCCTTGTCAAGCCCTTCAAACATACGTGTGAGCTCCTCCCTTCCTAAGGCTGGGCCAGTGGCCCGCAGCTCCTCCCCCACGAAGGCCCCCAAGGCTCCTGGCTTCAGGGCGGTGGGTAAATGGGTTTAGCTTCCCGTTCAAGCTGTTTTGGACTTGCCTGAGACAATCCATCCACCTCCCTCTGGCGGCCTGCTTTCTTGGCTGCAGAACGGCAGCGCCAAAAACGGTATCTGCCCAGCCTCGGCAACACAAGGGCCCGACTGTGGCACAGTGTCCCAACGCTACGTTCGCACCACAGCCAAGGCAAGCCATGCGACATGTCTAGAATCTGTAAGGCTGTTCATAGGGTAGCGAAGGTGAAAGAAACCGACGAAAGGCTGAGGTGAGCAAACACAAGCCAAAAACAAACCTGCGCTCACTGAGTTCTTCAAGACGTCCGAGTTCTGCACGGTACTTCTTGAGCACCGACAACTTGGCATGTTGTTTCTGGCTCTCCCAATTGGACCAAGCCAGGAATGGATGCGTGCCCCTCACCGGCTCTATTTGGTGGTGTTTGGCAGGCCATGGGTCATGGATGGTCATGGCATGACCATCTCTCGAAGCCTTCTGGCTGTTAGACAGCGCGCACAATTCAATGCTCATATAGCAGCAAGACAAGCCTCGACCATCTTCTGCCAGTGCGTCTACATCTTGCCTGGGAAATTTCCTGGTAAATAGCATGCGAACCTGCAGCTTGTGGCTTGTGGCTACAAAGGGGCAGACTCAGACTCAACAAACTCGGCAAACCCCCCTCTCTCCAGGGCCCCGGCAGCGCATCGGGCAGCAGGCCGTGAAGTGCTCGCCGTGGCCTGGGAAGGTGACATTTTGGTGCAAAACAGGGCTCTGGTCTGCTTTTTTATTCGAGGGTTTGGTGGGCAGTTTGACGACCCCACAAAGAACGCGTGAAGACAATGGCTGATGGTCACTCACTGAGTCCTTGTTTGGTATGAAAATTCAGGCCATAGCTGAACGCAAGTCTACTGACTCATTAGGGCTCCGGTCACGCCAGCATTCAACATCTTCGTCAAAACCAATCTTCAACCTCCCTAGGCCTCTTTGTTCTTCAACGACCAAACCGGGAAGATCCCCTTTTTTGCATCCAGGTCTGACGCCGGGCATCACCAAATTTACGGAAGAGGCGAAACTTGTGTTCACCCCTCAAAGAATAGTTCGAATACTCTCAACTTGATTGTCAGGTAAAATGTCAAAGAGAACCACACATTGAGTTGCAACGCTGAATTCCGCAGACATGGCGTGAAGTTCACTGCAGATGGCATCCCAAACCCCATGAGGGATATTGATCAGGAAGACCCAGTTCTCGTACAACATCCTGACATGGAGGAGGAAGGACCTCAACGCTACGGAGATCTCACTATCAAGCTGCGGGTTTCATCGATCCAGTGGGCTTGGTAGCCTTCTGCACCACACAACAGGACCATGCTGAACATCCACGGAACATGCTGTAGCAAAGCATCCTGCCATCGACCCCAGACCCCAGATCCCAGGCGACTATGGGACTCGACGTGTGACAGCGTCATGAAGTGCGAACGACCCATAGCACACCAGTCCTCCCGCTGAGCCGCCCTGGCAACCAACGAATCTAAACCCAAAGTCTCCATAAAGACAGCACTGGCAGGAAGATCCCCTTTTACAACCAGGTCTGCACAGCTGCCGGGAAAGTCAGGCTCACACAACCAGCTTCACAGTTCTCGTGACTGCAAGGCTAGCTGCGTCACCCGTTCCATAGTGACTTCATCTAAAATGTCAAGTAGCACAATTTGGTGAAAGTTTGTCATACACTCCTCAGCCAACCGCCCCCAAAACCCTTCAACCCTCTGCGAGCTTGGGCGATGACAGGTGTGTCTGGCGATGCGTCTGGCGAGGCTTGCCAGGATGCTCGCGCCTCATCTGGCGACTTGCATGGGACTCTGAGCCTACGCAAACCTGTTTTGCAAGAATGGCCCATTGAATATCATTCTCTGAGAATTTCAATTCGGACTTCGGACAGCCTTTACCTGCCGCGGCCCTCTTGAAATTGCAAAGCTGTTGTAAGACATCGGCAGCATCACCACGCTTGGTCTGGCCTGTGCAGCCACCTCAGTCGCAGACAAAGCTTTTAGGGCCTGAAACGTTCATCAGTCTCTTCCAATAATGCTGCTTGCATGGCGTATAAATCTAGCATCTGCCGCATGCCTGGCTACTACTGGCTACCTGCACAAGGGAAGAATGAAGGTTCTTTTGCGACTCAGCAGCTGAGACCTCACCAGCTGCTATGCTCCAGCCGGTCACACCTGGGAGGAATTTCGAGTCAATGTGGAGGGTTCAGGGTACAACCGATGAGCACGTGTATTGCGAAGAAGTGAATCGTGTGCCCCGAGACCTCAATAAGCTCCATGAATAGTGCTTGCCTGCCCCGCCAATACCCCTGTCGAGTCTCAAACCCTCCTGGGGGCGAACATCCTATAGTAAAGCTTCCATTGAGGGACTTGGCGGCATATGATCACAGCTGCACAAGGGATGAACATCTACCACCAGGACACCAAAAGTTTCATTCTTCTGCATGTACCCACGGCGGATTATCAGTCTAACGTAGCTCTCGCACACGTGAAGATGCCAGCACGCTGCCACAAGCCTGGCCATGCTATGGCTTAGCTACCCTCCCAACACTTGAGTGCTCCGCCATCTCCATTCTGAAGCAACAGTTGGCCTGACCCCGGCCTGAGTGAGATCGCTGATGTGCTCGACGTCTTCAACTGTCTTCCCTAGTGCACCGCCCCCGACTGCTTTCTCAAGCCGCAGGGTCTTGGAATGCTTCGCATGGTCTCATCGCTCAACTTCGGAAGCTATCAAGAGATGTCTGAGGACGCCTCACCCTTGACTCAGCCTTCAGCTCCAAAGCCACTTATCTTTGCACTTTAGTCAGGAACGTTAATCAACTTCTTAGCAATCCCAGAGTGCCAGGAAAGGCACCAGAAACTAAATCAAATGTTTCCACAAACCATGAGCACGGCGGCCTATTCTCCAACACATAAAGTCACACCCGCATCCTGGAGCATCGGAAGGAAGCGCAGGCGCGTTTGAGGTGGCTGCACGTGGAAGGACCACCCCGCATCTGAGGTAAACGTCAGTGAGCCTGGGCCGTGGATACTTGCGAATCTGGGCCTCCTAGAAAGGAAAACAACACTTGTGTAGTTGGTTTCGGTGGCTTGAAGGTGTTCTAAGCTTTCCGAAGCTGACGCTTTGGCTCCATCCACGTTCGGGTGCGGTTGGAGTGGTTCGGGTGGCGCGGAAAAGACGTGCAGCTGGCAGCTAGAACTACACCACCCTGCGTTGGAATCTGGCAACAAGACTTTGAACAAGTGCAGGAACCTGGTCGAGAGTCTGAGGCAGCCTAAGGGTTAGGGTCTGCAGCCAAATGCGCCGCGAACTCCTCGGCCATAGGCGGTAATAGTGGCGTCCGTGCTCGAAGACCTTGTAAACCTGCTCGATGCTCGACGTGTCCGTGTTCCAGAAGAGTTGATGAAAACAGGGAGAGAGATGCAGGCATCTTCCGAAGTCTTTACGGCAAGCAGAACTGGGACCCTTGGCCGACCTCGACGAGCGGCGGTGCTTTCTGCACACGCAGCTCCAAGAGCTGCATCCTGTGTTGTGGACTGCTTTTCGAAGATTTGGGGGGATTGTGGGGGGCAGGGAATAAAGACTTGGGGACGAAGCTCGTGCCTCAGCAGTTTACTGGATGTTCTTTGGCTGTCCAAAGAAGGTGCTTGTAATCTGCAACAGCTTTTCGTTTTCACCTCAAGATCCTGCCATTCTCCCGTACTTTCAAGCACCGCCGCTGCTTAACCATGATGTGCTGACCTAAACGCGCAAGCGGTTGCTTTAATTCGTCGTGCTCCCAACGCCCCCACATCAAGATGACTCTGTCATTTACATGGCTATTGGGGAGGATCAATCTGCCTGGATGCCAAGTCGCATTGCTTGTCACAAGCCTTCGTATTCCCGCAGCCCATGCAAGCACAGTTGCAGCAATCTTTGGGTGTGCTAGGCTCTTGCCATCTGGTTTGCCCCTCCCAAGAATCACTTCACCGAGTTCAAGAGGCTGACGGCCATTGGAACATGCCCGCCTCTCTGCCCTTTCTTGCGCAGCTGCAGCAGCTGCGAGCCACACCTCGTTCATCTCGTCCGGGACCTAGCATGCTCCCGGAAGATGCAGCTGTTGTAAGGCCTCGACACCTGACACTTTGCAGCAGCTGGGTGGCCACGTGCCACTTCGTTGTTTTTAGGAAGCCATGCATCAGCATCTCGACTCAAGGGCATGACTGATCCGCGGCTGCGCAGCTCCAATTCTGACAGCTGTGGCCTCGCGGTCATCAGCGTTGAGGGAGTTTCAACTTACAGGCTGACATATGCTGACTCGCGTCACTGTCAATGCATGCTTGCACAATGGAGCACTATGGAGCACAATGCCGGGGAACGAATACACGCACAAAAATCACACACACACACACACAATCACCCCCCGCCCTCCCCCCCCCCAGCATAGCATACTGCTGACATGTCTCTGTTCCTGGCACGGGAGACCACAGAACAAACAAGCTCAAGCTAATCAACACCTATGCCAACATTCGGTTCAACTCTGCGAAGCCCACATCCATGGATCCCAGCCCCTTTCCTGAGATCCCATCAACCATGAGGAACCATGAGGGCATGTCTGCAGCAAACTGGGAGGCAGACACGGCCGCCAGAATTGGTGCCAAGACAGACTGCACCCAGCCTCGTTTTTGTGTGGAGAGCATGTACTCGACATGACGGACCAAACTTCCTCGAAAGAGGCTCTCCAACCATGATTATCTACCAGTACCAGATACCCGCCACTCTGCACGTACTCAAGCCGTTAATCGACTGGCACTTCTCAACCATTGCGAAAGTGTGCCCCGGCCCTCTTACTTCACTGCAGTGGCTCTCTCGGCTCTCATCCGTGAAATTGAGAAGTCCGGTCTTGAAACCGCCATGTCAAACCAGCGGTTGAGTCGTGGCCCTGCGGCCTCTTGCGCCCCTTGCCTTTGCAGCCCTGGTGTCGGCCATCAATCTGTGGCCACACACGACTTGCGCAATCTGCATGCGATTCAAGTTTCATTGTTGATCTGCAAATCCGTCCACTTCGCGTGCTCACAGCTGCGAAGTCACGGCGAAGCCCTGCTGCTGTGGATGGCAGACTTCTGCGATTTTGCGAGGCCCTTTGGACGAGCGGATTTGCTTCGAGATGGTTGGTTGATGTTGAGGTCTTGCACAAAGAAGACGTCCGTGGTCTAAGGTCTGACATTTCGACTGCACCTGCTGTGGGCTGCCAAGGCGTGTGCACGGCAAGGCCAACCTTCACCCGCACAGGACCTCCTGCCAATCATTGCTGTTCAGCATGTTCAGTGCACAACGCCCAAACCACTCAAGCTTGGCTCTTGCAGCCCAAGCCGCTGGGCAAAGAAGCAGCCAAGCAGACGGGAGCCCAGGCCTCCAGTCCCAGGACATCTTGAAGTGATTTGAAGGGTCACGTGGTTTCAGTTTCTGCCATGGAGTATGCCTACACCCGACACTCGACCTTCGTTTTCGTTTAACCTTTCCTCAGATTAGCAGTCAGCCTTGGCTTGGGTCACACAAGTCACTCCTTTGCTTAATCTCATCTACGAAAGACTTCTCAGAGTCACAATTAAGAGTAGCATTGGAACTAAGAAGGATCCTCAGGCCGGCACCTCCTCCTACCCCGCCCCAGTTCGTACAAGATTTGGGTGAACGCGGGCATGTCACCATTTCCTGGAGAGCCGCGCCTGCGCATGCCGGTCTGCCTCCGGGCCACGGTCCTCTGGCGCCCATCGCTGGAGGCTGAAGCCTTTGCAGGAATGGATGCACATTCTGCATGCTGGTATTCGTACTGAGTTGGTATGGCTTCTTCTCAAACTTTGCAGACCATATATCATGCACGCAGTTTCAGGTTTCAGGTTTTTCAGGGCCAGCGCTTAACCTTGGATGTGGCTTGGATTGTATGTGGCTTGATTGCACAATATGTTTGGGGTGGGATCCTGGTTTCGTGCCTGGTTTCGTCCAGGAAAGCCATCTTTTTCTGCGCCCGCCAAACTGGATCCAGACAGTTTGGCTGGTGAGGGCATGGCCTTCGTGGCCAACCAGATCCTTCCAAACCTGCCAGAGCATCATGAGTCGTTTGGATGACCTCCAAGAATCTCCAAACAAGCCCAGACAGCGTATAGTGATGCTCGGGAATGTGTGACATGTCGATGAAATATGTATGACAGTCCTGAACCCTTCCAAACCCTGAACCGTCACAACATGAGACTGCCACTTGGGATGCTGCGCGGTTCGCTGCCGCCTCGCGCTCCACGCAGTGCACGTCAGGGCCTGAGAGCTTACACTGTTCTTGGCGGACTCTGAGTCCTGTAACGGCCGGTCTGCTTCTCAAACTTCCGAGTCGATCGTCCTAGCAGCCGGCGAGCCTACAGTTCAATCGCGAGGCAGCCAAATTCAACCGATCACGGGCTTGGCGAGGGTGAATTAGTTGGCTTGCTCACCAATTACAACTCTACAGACCTTACCCTGCTTCAGGGCGACAGTTGACGAACTAGCCCATGCACCCTTCACCTGCACGTTTCCATGGAGTCCCGCAACCAAAGACGTGGCCTGAACATTGTTTAACAGGCTTGTGTGGACTCACCCGGCGAAGGGCACAAGAGCAAGTGTCCATCCATCTCGAGCAGAAGATGGGCTTAAACTTGCTCTTGCAGCAAAATGCCTGGGGCCCCTGGGTGTCCGGCGGCCAAGTGCCTCATAGGCCCACAGGTCAGCAGCGGTCAAGGTGGTAATGGCTCACATTGTAATTGTGTCTGACACTATTCTGCTCGAAACAGAGACTACTGAAAAGAGGCGACTATGGCCAAGCCTCACAAAGGCAATTACATCGGCTCAAACGAAGAAAGCAAAACGACGACTGCTACAAAATGCAAGAGGCCAGTTCTTGCTCGCTACCGTACAAGCCCACATTCGCTGTCTGAGGTTTCCGTGAGTTTGGGGAAGGTAGGCTGTTGCATCTCAGCTGCCTCATGGTAGTCCGGGCTGCAAACGGCCTTGGCATTGAGGCTGGCTAGGAGGGGGATTGTGCATCGTAAGGCCCTAGCCAAGCTGATCCTGAGAAGTCATGTCATACCTCCTCATCCTTGTCATGACCGTGACGGCATGATCCTGCGAAACACTGCGGCGGGCTTCATCGAACTTCCGAACACTCATCACGCTACACATGCTGTGCAATGCAGCAAACCGTAGCAAACCCCTTTGAATGCCAGATCCGAACCAAGGCCCTCGTTTAGAGCCATGTGGCCCACGTCGGCAGGAGCTCGAGGCCGTCCCTGGTGGCCCCGTACCTCATGATCTTGCATGAACTCTTGAGACTCCTGAAGCTCCTTAGATCCGGGGTTGTGGCTTGGCCTTGGGGACGCTCCATTTAAACAGGACGCCAGGCCCTGCCCAGACCCCGGGGCAAAGTTGAGAAAGTGTCAGGCAAACCAAGGATCGGAAGTGGCCTTCAGGACTACTTAGAGCCCAAGCATGGCTCCTACCCATACCTTGTTTTTTCGGGCAGGGCTCTGAGTAGTCGGGGGAAGCCCCCCCCGGAACCCCAAGCATGCTAAGGCGGCGACTGGCCCAGATTCACGGACACCTGTCGCAGGCTTGGGCTTCAGACTTTGGAAACGATTAAGCTCCTGCTCCTGCGAAACCTTTGCGAGCCAAAAGCCCAAAACCCAAGACACAGCTCGCGTCCCGGACCATGAGGTCCAAACATGTCCCAAAAACCGGAGAAAGACTCTGACACAACCGCTCTCTTGCCTGACGGCCACCAGAACCACGTCGGCCCTCTGCGACCCGCAGCATCCACGCGTGGAAAGTCTTGGCCAAGAGAGGGAGGTTTTCAGAGCTTTTCCATTATTTTCCATAAGCCCACATTGAACCCAAAGTCTAGTACTAGGGGTCCGAGAAACTATCTTCCGAGAGGGTTCGTGGGACCTAACACAAGCATAAGTACAGGGCTTCTCGGCTCGCAGGCTCAGGAGAGCTTAGGAGTACAGCCACTCAAAACCTCTGGAGCGCCGCTATCGCAGCCGCGTCGGACAGAAGAACAAACACGAAAGACTGCTTCAACCTTTATCGACTTTACAGCAAGAAGCAAGAAGGGGGCAGCTTTCATCATGTGATTGAGCCCAAGTTAACCCTAAACAACGAAACCTACATCTTCTGGCCTCTCCCGGCTGCACATCCGACCAGCTCCCATTCGGCCTTTATGAGGGGGAGGGAGAAAAGCCCCAGCCCTAGAGTATAGCACCTCACCTCAAGATGACTTCCCTTGCCTTTCGGGCTTTGGGAGTTCATGGACTGTCAGCTTTGGGGCTTCAAGATCAACAATTTTGCCGCGATGTTAAGTTTAGGAAGTGACATGAAGTCAACGTAAACTTGAAGCCTTGTTGGTTGAAGCTTTGGGCATTGTGGCCTACGCGGGGTCGTATAGAAGCGTCGGCTTGCATCGGAGAATGAAGGCTTAATAACATATCTTCTTGACGTAGGATGTGGGGCGCCATGCAACGCCTCGTTGCGGTTCAGCCAATCCGGAGCCCGCCGAGCCCAGTGCAAGTCCTTTTGCGGCACGAAGTCGCCCGGCTGGCGCGGCAACTCCTTTAGTGGCCCATAAGACTTTCAAAAAGCAAGCAAGCTGTAGGGTATCGGAGGAGTGGATGCAGGCTACCTTTTGCGTCAACTGTAGCAACTCCATTCAGACGGCTGAACTGAGCTGGAAAAGTAAGTCCGGGACGACCCACTGCTCAGAAGAAGGCTCGCCCTCCGTGGAGCACGCATGGAAAGATACGGGGGTAGAGTTGGCCAACAGCCACGACCACGTCTTCAGCAACTCTTACTTGCGCGATGATGGGCAAAGAAACTGGGACGAAGTCCATCAGCACTGCAGACTCGACAACACGAGCAGCTGACATGTCTGCAAATGATTCACGAGACATCACCCATGATCCTGGCCTCCTTGCTTCGCGCATTGTTGGTGACAGCCTGCGACGCACAAGCTTGCATGGTTCTCGAGCTGTGCCAGTGCCGACTTCTGACAGATTCGCGATGGCTCAGCATTTTCACCCTGCGCCAAAGGATGAGTCAGGATGAGCTGACGCCTTCTCCACGGCCCGGAGCACCAGGCTAGACCTTTCCGTGCTTTCCTCGGGGGGGGGGGGGGGGCGTTGAGTCGAAAAGGTAAGAAGTCGTGTAACCTGTTGATGTCACAAGGATGAAGACAGTCGGCCACAACCCAAACCCAATCTGGCACTCATCTCTCGCTTCTCTAGCCCCCGCTGCTCTGCGCACGGCGTGTCTCATCTCTTGCTGCGAGTCGAGACCCGGCGTCTGCGGGCTCAGCTGTTACATGCTGCACCTCGAGGTGCGAAGTCCTTTTCTTCGGCCATTGTTGGCTACAGAACTTAGGAACCTTGTCAACTCTTAAGCAGCAACACCGCCAAAACCACAAAGAGACCTCGCGCTAAACCACTATAAGCTCTCAACCCAAACTCCATTCCTTTCTAACTCTCTGGGGATGGAGCCCGCAGCCAGGCAGCTAAGCCTCGCGATGTTTGAAGGATTGATGGCTTCAGTTTGGTTCGATGCAAGAAGTAGATGTGAGCTCCTCACAGTCCTCACAGTTGGGAGCCCTGACTTCGCCAACACGGGCCCTTCAATGCAGCTTCATGCTACCCAATACGGTCTCGCACGCAAGACAAGGCTGTTGGTTATGCGCAAGGCACTGGCAAAACGCTGATTCAGGTCCCCAAGCCCAAGCCTTAAAGTTGTAGTCTCGAAGGCCAAGGTCCGAGCAGGTTTCGGGACGTCAAGCAAAGCACAACTGTCGATTGCCAAAGGCCCGGGCGGCTCCGCCACGCTTCGAAGGCATCGTAGAGTTCAACCTTCCAGGACCAGTGGCTCTCTTCTTATGGGCACAGAATGTATGGCCAGAACCGTTCCTACTGTCCATGCTGCACGGTGGGCTAGTGGTGGCAAATCGCCCCTCGATTTCGGAAACTGGCAGGTAGCTGTCAGATCACCTTCAACACTTGAACCATGAGGGCAACTGGCCTCTCCCACTCCCAAGCTTGACATCGCTGACGCTTGTCCTCTCCGCCAAACGTCTGCATCTCTGACGCATAGAAAAGCCAGAAGCTGGCTTAAGCCGGAACCCGATTTGGTGGCTTACGGATTCAGCAACGTTC